GTCGTGGTCGAGAACGTCAGCCTCCTCATCATTGCCTTCACACGTCCTCTGGCATCTCCTCTCCAACCTCCTCCACCACGCGCTTCAGGTCTTCAAGGGTAATGTAATCCGAGTTGCCCTTGGTGAAGTGCCGGAAGGACAGAAGCACCTCTTCGCTGTCTTCGGCGAAGAACTTCCCCTTCATGATGGCCTCAAACTCGGGAAGAATGAGGTTGCTCGAAACACCGCTCTTGTCCATCTCCGCCACGAGCTTCTTGATGACGTCCTTCTGCGGCTCATACCCGAGGGCGCGAAGGACCACCTTGAGATCGTTGGGCGTGATCGTCTCTGTTCCGTCCACGTCCATGATGCGAAACGCCTCGGCAATCTCGTCCTTTTGGCTGTCGGAGAGGTCCGGTGGCAGACGTTGCGCCGTGGACCGTAAAAAGTCGTTGTTGCCCATTGCCAGCCCCACACACACTCACACTAACCAACTCTCTCTTCAACTCTACTAAACGTGTCCTCCTGCACCTGCCGCACGCCATAGCAATTTCACAAGAAAAGGAAAGAAAAAAGGAGGTTGAGGCGCGCTGCAAATTATCACCATGTGGCATGGCAAAAAGGCACCTTTCCCCAGCGTGAAGACGCACACAACAGCAGGAGCACGTCAATGGAAAAAAAAAAAAACTCACAGAATATACGCAATACGGAACAAAAAAAAAAAAAAGCAGAGCTTTTTCAACGTTTTCAAATAAATTCACTACTAACAACATCAAAAAAGCGGTAAAAATAAAAATATTTATTCCCTATTTTGTGCAATTCCTCATTCTGAAAGGGTGTGGCTTTAGCAGCGCCTCGAAGCAGTGAAACAACAACACCAACAAAAAAAAAAGGACCAAATCACCAACCAGCGGCTGCCGCACCCCATATCTGTCAATTGTAAACAAAAATTCATCCACAGGGGACCAAAATGGGCTTTCCCGCCTGCAGAGTCATACAAACAAAACAGATGATGAAGAATGCATCCTGAGCAACGTGCAAGAAGTAACCAAACCAAACACCTTCTTAGACACAGACAGAAAAACAGGCAGAAAAAAAAAGAAACTTCTGCTTCTTCGCTAGTCCTTTCTATCCACCACAACATGCATAGTTGGCTGTGCCCTGTGGGTGCGTGGATGTGTCGGTTATCCAACTCGCACGCTGCTTAACGTCAGCCAGTGGCACATCCGCCAGTAAGTGAGCCCTTTGGAAGTCCGTGAATGTTGGGCCCACGCGGAGCGTGACCAACGCTGCGACCACCACCGAAAGGAACAATTCGCGTTGTTGATCTGTACTCCTGCACGTGTTGCGAGACGGGCTCGGAGGAAACAAGAGTGGCAAAAAACAGCCACATGAGACGCAGAATGGAGAGAAAAAAGTCGACGAGACTAAACGGCTTCGAGTCAACGACCCTGCCGTTCGCAACGTACGGCATTTTCCCCCCGCTGCTACCACAACCCTCCAGCAAGCCTTCTGTCCTACGGCTGTTTCAGTGACGAGAGAATAAATGAATGCCCTTTTTTTTTTCCAAGACTTTTGGGAGAACTACGAGAAAAGAAATAAACAGGCAAAAGAAATAAAAAATGAGCGTGCAATACATAAGAACAAGATCTATCACTCGCTTTTAAATTCATCATTACAATCCAAAGAAATAAATGACATGTACAGGTAGACGGTTGATCTTTTATTGGCATCGTTTAACCGGAATTTTTTAAACGTCCATCTCACTTTGTGTTTTCTGGTGCTGTCCTCGCACAGCCGTCATGGGATCGCGGCTGCCCAACGCCTGCAGCAGTACGCAGGCACGACAAAGTTTTTGACTCGTTACGTAACCACAACGAACACAAAATCCCTGTGGATTTTCGGGAACAGACTCCCGCTCCTTTACACGCAGACGCTCCCCGGAGCGGATAGTGTCTAAAATACAACGTGGTTGAAGCTTCTCCACCTCCTTCAAAAGCGTGCGTGCCTCGCTACGGAAGGCCTCCCTGCTATAGGAGCACTCTGTGGTAAAATAATCCAACTTCTTGAGATGTGCGTAGAGGACAATCTCCTTTTCATAGGCATATTTCAATGGCTTTACACGAGGAATAAGACCATCTCCGGCAGTGATGGCGCTCGTGCAACGAGAGAGACGTGGAAGATCTGCGCGCAAGATGTTCATTAAGATTGTCTCTGCCAAGTCATCGGCATTGTGTCCTGTCACAATCTTTGTCGCCCCAAGCAACGCTGCGCCACGGTCCAGAGCTTGTCGACGAAACACACCACAAAAAGTGCAACTATTTCTTAATCCTGATAGCCGTACAACCTCATCCATTGTCCACCCATAAAGTTCCTTGTACGAAATCACACGCAGTGGAAGTTCGTACTCTGCGGAGTTGCGATGCACCGTCTTTAGGCTGTCGTCACGATAGCCAGTGATCCCCTCGTCAATACTCAGCAGAAGAATCTGCACGTCATATCCATGACGCTCGTTCAGTAGCTTCATAAGATGCATTAGAACTGTACTATCTTTGCCTCCGCTTGCGCCACAAGCCACAACATCACCCGAGGTGAAAAGCTTCTCCGCCATTATTGTCTCATGAACTTCCTCTTCGAACAAGTGAAAGAAACATTTTTGACATAAAAGTTGCCCATTGCGGGGCCGCTTCACAGCGGCCTTCTCTTCACAGCAGTGAATACAGAGCCGACGTGGTGGCATCCCTCTACTCCCCCACCCGTATACAGTAAAAAAAAGAAAAACTATATGTATCAACCTGTATTATATGTATATATATTGGGTGCGTATGTGTTCCAAGACTGCAATGTTAATTGAATAAAACACAAAAACAAAATGATAATAATAATTATTATTATTTGCAAGCTATTCAACAATGGTAGGGCACTGCTTCTTCTTGTATCCTCCATCACTTTGGTTCGCTCTTGTCCTCCACTCTGATCGATGAACAATTAGCACGAGAACAACAACAACAACAAAAAAAAACGTAAAAGCAAGAAAAAAAGTCTAGAATACAAAGCGCTGGTCACCCCCTCCCAGGAAATCCGTCTGAAGCCTTCAACGCCGACGTCGTACCGTAAGTATGGATCAAGACTGCAGGCTGCAGATGGAGAAGTTGTGCAATCATCTCCCCAGCGTCGTCGCATAGAAACGGCGTCCCTGTGGGAGCACCTCGTCGCTCGCTCCCGGTGTCTTTACTCCCACTCATACCGCTAGTGGCTTGGCGAGTGGCTGATGAAGTACTGTTGACGGAGAGATTCAACAGAGGAGTTCTCTCATTCTTATCACGCGAAACCCTCCCTTGCCGCGGCGGCGTATCCTGCCGCAGTGTGCGTGAACATGCAAACAAATCTTCCACTTTTTCTTCCAAAAGATAAAATGCCTCTTTTGTCGGAAGACTCTCTAGTCGTGTTTCAACACTCACTACGCCGTGGTGAGCAGCATCTGCACTCTTGATGGCACCGGCCACTAACGCATGAAGGGTCGATAAATCATCCCGCAGAGAATTCAGAGTCCTTTCCAGCGCCGCCCTTGAATTTTCATGTGCCTCTCTCTGAGCGTCCAACGCTTCATAAAGCTCTCTGTTCGCCGCCTCCAGTAGGGAAATTTTTTCCAACAGCTGAGTGTTATCCAAAGAGGCTAAGTGTCCATCGCCCTCCTTTCCGCTTGACAATTCCCCGTGCCCAACATGCACACAATTTTCCTGTTCCGTGTTCGATGTGCCCCTGGGCAACGATAACAATCCAGTTTCCACGGCTTTTTCCCCAATCGGCAATCCATCATTGCTGCTTTGAAGAGGAGGCGACGGGGGTGAAAGTCAAACCGCGACGCGAACACGAACGGCGCTCGGACTCTGGAAACGACCAGAGATCTCTCACCTTCGCATCCCTCACGATTGGCCTTTTAATCGGGTTGGATCGCAGGTCCAAACGAAAAACCTTTGGGGCGTTCGCATTGCCCGGAACCACAGAGGAAGAGAGGAAGGAAGAGTTGCGGGTGCATGCCAAAGGTTCGTTGGATTCCGCTCTGCCTTCGCTATTTTCTCTACTGGAGTCGCGGTCATTGCACAATGCAATGTGTGCCCTCATGCAGGACAGTCCCATCTGGACACCGCAGTAAGGACATGCCAAAAGAGTGCTCATCAGATCAATGAAATCCCCAACCAATATCGATAAAAGGAACTGCTGTTTTCGCACAATCCAACTCCCTCAGGCTGGCTAGCACACGACACGCAAACACGGAGAGAGAAAAAAAAAAAAAAAAAGAAGAAAAGAGAGAAGGGCCCCTGTACAACTGTCCAAAAATAGATACAGTATTCGCAAATACGGAAGCATGTAGGAAAGAGAAGGGGGTTTGCGCTTATGAAGCACCACAAAGGAGTGAACAAGAAAGCAAATCGAGGATGACAAGATCCCTCCTATAAGTTCAAAAAAAAAAAAAAAAGAAATCAAAGGCAACACTTCAAAAAGTTTTAAAAGGGCAAGCTACACCTCTTCATTTTGATGTTTAATAATCGTTGGTGAACAAACTCTTGCTTTTCTAGGTAAAGGAGCCAACTTGCAGCCTCGACAGCCGGACAAGGCACGTACATTTTGGGCCCCTCTGTCCAATTTCTTGGCAAAAACGTTATTTTTTTTACCTTTCGGGGAATGTCTACGGTCGGGAGATGAGTTGTCACGTGGATGCAGGACACTGGAAAAGGGGTGGTCTCCCTTGCAGTGAAGCGTTGGCCTCCCAATGGTGGGTTTCCCCAATAACAGCGACCGCCTCCTCTCCGCCTCAGCATTCCCGGAGGACGCCAATACGGACAATCTGAATGAACTCACTCGTTTCTGCTTTGGGGAGTGGCCCACCTCATTGAGAAATTGAACTCCTTGTCTCGCAACCGCCACAGGATGTCCCTCCTCTCGTGCCACATCGACAAATTCCTTTTTCAATGAGGCCTCCGTGTGCAAAAGAAGTAACGGCGTCTTTTTCTCGTCAGGCAGTGCCGGGGCAGCCCGTCTCTCTGTCCCGCCACGACGCATTGCAGGCCCAGTGGTTGGTCTTCGGCGGTTGGGTACAAGGTCGTTGTTTCTGTTGGGCTTCCCTGCAAATCGCCTCACAGGATCCGCACAATAGAAACTCAATATTGCCGTGGAATTATCATGTGTCTCAGGCTCCCTCTTTTCCCGCCGTAATTGGTGTCCGGAAGCATGCCGTTCTATAATCCACGGCACTGCAAATGTTCGCCAAAGAACCTCAAAAATGTCATCTATCACATCTTGTGGCTCTGTGGAGCGAAGAATATTTTCTCTGTTATTTTCATTGCACATCCCTTCAATTGTTTCACTTTCAATTTCGCACGACGGTCCAGTACGCTCTGAGCACTGGGCAGCAGTTCTATCGCTGGACAATCCATTTGTCGTAATTCCACTGACGTTTGCCTCTAAATGAAAGAACTTTATATTATGCACTGTATTCAAGGGGCTTTGCGAGTAAACCATCCGTCGACAGGGCCGTTCCGTGAAGACGCAACGAGTGACAGCTACTGC